TTCTAATTTCAGTACTAAATTTGGCAATTTTATTGTGAGGACACAGACGGGATTATCCATTGTCCACACCATTGTGTGTTGTGGAAACACTGTAATTAACACCCTCTAAATATAATTAGGTCAGATCATCCTTCATATATTCAGAATTCATTCTGACCACTGATTCTTGAGGATCTTTTTTCATTTAATTCTCTCAGTCCTGTGTGTTCACAAATTGTCCCAGTTAGATGGGAACATTTTTTCCACAACATGACCCATATTTTGAAAACCACCTTCATGTGATAGTCACCACTAAGAGGCAGTGTTGCTCACAAATTCACTGTGCTGTATGATTCTATGTAAGATTCTGAAATAATGGGCTCTATCGTGCTTTCACAAAAAAGTTATTTTCCACTATGAATTAGTCTTTATATTGAGGCTAAAGTGTAAATTTCAGTGTGTGATATAATTTTAGACCTAAAATTATACTGTGATTATAGTTTGTAAATTGCCAACATGTTCTTTTGAATACAAGATGTTAACCTTTTGTTAATAAGGGTTTGTTTCAGTTGATTGGTTACATTTTTATAACATCCCTATTAAGTATCAGCCTCTGCACTTTTAAATCAGAGATTAGCTTATTATGAAAAAAGCTGCTACAGTGTTAAGTACCAATAAAGAAGCAAGCTGTCGTTTTGAATCTTGGTTTCATATTTGAATCACATCGATTTATTATGTAAGTTGTATGAATTAGAAAGTAAATGAACAAGAGTTTTCTGAAAATTCAAATGTATCTATTACTTAATGCATAATAATAATAATAAAATGTGATAAGGTTATTGAACCCAAATTTAATGGACGTGCTGTTGGTATTGAGTTGCATTATTGAAAGTGCATGATCTAGTGTTTTAGAGTTTTACCCCTACTAAGGACAGAACATCAGGATATCATGCCACCGGCCGCATCAGTTTTGCCCTTTTTTCTGTCTCTTGAAAACGCAGTATTAAATAGTTTAGAATTTTAGTTTTATTCTTTCCTCCACTGTCACACAGGTATACTGATTCCTTTGTGTGAATCTGGGACATGTACTCTCAGAGAAGCCATCATCATTGGGAGCATACTCACAAAGTGTTCAATCCCTGTGCTCCACTCCAGGTAGGGTTTCACTGATGTACACCAGAAGACAGGTGTCAACATCTTATCGTTAGATGTAGGATTCTGCCTGTAGTCCTGTTATATTGTGTAGTGTTGGCAACTAAAGGTAAAGTGGAAATTGCATAACATGGAAGACTTTATAACGCACGTTTGTTCTCATCTTTCAGCGCTGCAATGCTTAAGTTGGCAGAGATGGAGTATAACGGTGCCAACAGCATTTTCCTTCGCCTCTTGCTTGACAAAAAATATGCCCTGCCTTTCCGTGTCCTAGATGCCTTGGTGGCTCATTTCCTTGCTTTCCGCAATGAAAAACGTGTGCTTCCTGTGTTGTGGCATCAGAGTTTACTCACCCTGGCTCAGCGCTACAAGGCTGACCTGGCCTCTGAACAGAAGACAGCACTGTTGGAGCTGCTCAAGATACAAACACATCCACAGATCTCAACAGAGATTCGCAGGGAACTGCAAAACTCAGAGTCGAGGGATATCGAAATTGGGCTCCCTGTTACAGTTCAGATGGACTGAGATT